GGCCTCCAAATCTCCTCCTCTGCCCGCACTGATGAGATGAGTGGTGTGAGGACGGCCTTAGGCCTGAGCCTAAGCTACTCCATTTAAAAAAACCTGCATTCTCACCAGGCACACACAGAGCCCACCAATATGGCCTCCGACAAGTCACTTCCCCTCACCCTGATAAACAAGAGTGGCCTCTGACAGGTTGTCCTTGCCTAATAAGAGGGAAAAGCAAGAAGATCAGGGTGGAGACCACCAAACCAGATGTTTCTGACCGCAGGGTAAATGATGTCACGGAGCAATCCTTTGGTAGCTGATAAGGATTGAAAGGAGAGTCAAAAGCCCCAAAATTTAGTATAAATAATAGAGCTAATGAACAGGGATTCAGCCAGCGGAAACAAGGATGCACTGGAGCTGGAGGGCCTGATGAGGACCTGGACTGACATCCCATCACTTGTCATCATTTTCCTGATCCTCTGCGTGATCCTCACCACCCTCAAACTCTGGATCCTAGTGAGAGCCGCAACTTCTCCATACAACCCTCTCCCTCTCCTCAACCAGTAGTCCACTCCACACCAGGAGAAGCCTGCCTTGGTTCCGGGCCTGATCACCAGGGTCTGAGTGAGTGTGCATCTGCTGGACTTGAAGCCTAAGGCTTCAGACTTTTGATCTGACACTGAATTTAGCATGCAGAGGGAATGTCGTCATTAGCCTGTCAAGTTTAAGTGTGTTTGCAGTGCTTAGAATTAATCTAGAATTGTTTGCAGTGAATTAATTAATCTAGAATTGTTTGCTGTTAATTGATTATGTCTATTGCAGTTCCCAGCATTAAGGATTGTCCTTTCTTGATTAAGAACCTATAGAGTGAAATTTTATTGAGTAATTCTTTATTTCTCCCCCTTCGACTGCATACATAACAACTTTGCCCCCTCGTGACAGCTAGGTTCAAAAGAGCTGGCTGTAACATTAACTAAGAAAATGGCAAAGAAATCATGCAACACACAGACATGAGTTTCTCAGGTCAAGGGTGGGACTGCTCTGAGACCTCAAGTGTCCTCTTCCATGCTGGAAGTCAAGAGGGCAAGAGAGCGAGTGCACGTGGAACCCCTCTGTTTATTAAGGAAAAGATATTTGATGGAATATTCCACCCAAATAAGGCAGGGATAATAATTCAAAGGGGGGGGGGGTGGTGCTCAATTCCACTGGGTGATGATCAAGCCCAGAGCTGAAGCCCTTCCTTACTGGGCAAATGAAAGGACCACTTGCTTCGCACAGTGTGTGGTGTGCAATGCCAGTCCAATACCCCCTTTACTCATGGCTGGGGGGGGAGTCAGTCTTGGCTTGTGTACAAGGCAGCCGCCCCCCACACAGGAGGACCTGGGTTGTTCAATTCCTAGCACAAACAACCAATGTCCCCAGTCCCCACAGAACAAACATAAATGACAAAACACAAACAGCAATGACAGGGAAAAAAAAAAAAAACCTGGAGAATTGAAGGATGAACCACACTGCAATGGACATGTCATCTTTTTTTGTTTTTGTTTTTCAGATAGGGTCTTCCTACATAACGTAGTCCAGGCGGATCTTGAACCAATAGCTCTTCTGCCTCAGCCTTGGACATGTTATCTTTTGTCTGCTATAGACATCACCACCACCACAACAACAATAACAGTCACCTAATTTCATTTGTAAATAAGAAAATGACAGTTTGGCCTTTGATCAAAGCAGGGAGATCCATTCAGTCCTCTGACCACACCTGCTTCATTTTGCATCCCCACGAGCAATGAGAGAATGACTGGGAATACCAGTGCTTCCTTCACACACTTCAGGTGAGGGACCAAGATCTTAGCCCTCCCTCCCAGTGCTGGGCCTCACAGTATCTCCTGCCCCACTCCAGGTTTCAAAAGCCCAATTTTAGTGTTTGCTAAACTTCTTGGCTGGAAGTTTTACTGCCCCCTGGTGTTATGAGAAAAGCGAGAACCTCACCTGCCAACAGACCACTAGAGGGCAGCAACACGCCGGTGACAGAGCAACATTGTTGTTCAGGGGCTTACTCTGGTGCTTTGGGTCCTAAGAGGCAAAGAGGCCAGTACTGCTTTCTACAACAAAATTAAGAAGGGAAAGCTTATTTTGGATTGATATGTCCAGGAATGTCTGATAGGTAAGGTAAAAAGAAATGACCAGAGGAGCTTTTTGGGGGGACACTTCATATCCAATCCAAACCATAACAGAATACTAAAATACTAAAAAAAAAAAAAAAAAAAAAAAAAAAAATCTTGCAACCTAATGGAAAGTGAAACCAATTTGAAGTATAAGTGGAAAGTAGCACAAAGTGTAGATTATGAGCAAATCTCAATGGGTGATAACTATGTGAAACAATAAAATGATGTGGGATTTGATATACATGTAAAGCAAAAATCTGCAGGGTGGAGAGGAGAGTAAAGGAAATTAAAATTTTCCAAGGACTTTCTGTAGTCTGGAAAGAGGGTAAAAATATCAAGTAATTTAAATGTTTTAAATCAGGATATAAACTATAGGTTGGCCCCTAAAATAATGAATAAATAACTACCAAGGTAAAAGAAAGAGGACTCATAATATTTATCCAAATTAAGGCGAGAAATGAGGGGAAAAAATGAGGAAAACAAACCAGGCACAGTGGCATACACCTGTAATCCCAGTGGGTTGGGAGGCTGAGCAGGAGGATCATGAGTTCAAAGCCAGTCTCACCAACTTAGGCCCTAAACAACTTAGCAAGACCCTGTCTCTAAATAAAATATAAACAAGGTCTGGCGATGTGACTTAGTGGTTAAGTGCCTCTGGATTCAATCCCTAGTACCACAAAAAAAAAAAAAGTAACAATTCGTAGGGAGACCAAGAAGCAAGCAGGGTGCATGTTTGCAATAAAGATTTAAAAGTTAAAGAAGCATCATTTGGATCTTCGTGGCCCCTTCGGCAATAACAATATCCTGAGGGTCTCCAGTACCTAGAATAGCAACCATCTTCACACCTGGATGGTTTTGCATGTCACATTATTATGCCAAGATGGGATGAGACTGCAACTTAGACACAAGATTCTGCAGCCACCAGGGAGAACATTGGTGAAAAAAAAAAAAAAAAATCTGGGCCTCAAGTGTTATCTATCTCCTGCTTAGACTGCTATCTTTTGTGATTTTTTGCTATCTGGGCCCTGTTCTGTCTTCTTTCCTAGCTCCACAGGAATGATCAAGGACTCCACTTATTTGGAATTTCTAATCCAGTATTAAATAAGAGTTCTATAATTACCATTCCTTTTCTTTCCCTAATTATTCCTTAACCTATTGGATACAGACTATCCCCCGAAACCCTCAAAAACTCCACTAAATTTGTTATTGCTAAGTCTTCTACCAAAGATGTCTAAGATATTAAATAATTTACCCCACCATTCCCCAATCTTTATTTAGTTTGGCCACTCTGCAGCACTTGGTACTACCGAATACTTAGCCTCCCATTTTGAAACACTTGGTGGCCTTCTTGATGACATCCTCCTCTGGCTTTCCACATTTCTTCAGTTGCAACACTTAGTCTTTTCAAAGTTTTTTTCCTTTTCTATTTCATCCATAGATAGTGATACTTCTAAAGGAGTAAAATCCTATACTCTCCTTTTGGATGCTGTACAACCAAGAGTTCCCAACGCAAATACCTTAGAAAATGGGCAAGTATCAAAAATGAAGCTGGATGACATAGCACACACCTGTAATCTCAGTAGCTTGGGAGGCTGAGGCAGGAGGACCAAGAGTTCAAAGCCAGCCTCAGCAAAAAGCAAGGTGTTAAGCAACTCAGTGAGACCCTGTCTCTAAATAAAGTACAAAACAGGGTTGGGGATGTGGCTGAGTGACCTAGTGCCCCTGAGTTCAATCCCCCACCTCCAAAAAATGAATACTATGAGCTGAGTCCCAGATATTATACAGTGGTGGGGACTGTGGTGAACTGGAGAGCTCAAATCCCATAAGGAGAGGTGTTTTTCTATTGGTTCAATCCAATTGTGCAGGGCTGCAGCCCTACATACTGCAATTTCCCCAAAGTCTATTTTTATGCATAATTTCTTCATCTTAAGAAATACTGTGATTAATAATGACAATATCTTAAAAACTCCAGTAAACTGATTTCAACCTGTAGCTAGCCTAACACTTCTGCAGATTCTCCTTAAGCAATATCATCTACTGTCATGTGAATATTTATTTTATGCTGAAAATTTCAAACTCTTCTTTGTTAACTCTTTCCTTTGAGTCTACATATTCATTACCCAAATGCCTTTTTTTAAAAAAAGTTTTTAGTTGTAGTTGGACACAATACGTTTATTTTATTCATTTATTTATTTTAGGTGGTGCTGAGGATCAAACCCAGCTCCTTGCACATGCTAGGCGAGTGCTCTCTACCACTTAGCCACAGCCCCACCCCCATCCAAATGACTTCCATCATCCCTACTCAATCTGTCTCCTCGAAATTGTCCCTCTCTGCCAGCTTGACTTTCGAAGCTTTCCTTTGAAATGATAAGAAAATCTAACATATTTCACACTGTTTACAAGACCCCTGGAAGTCTTTCCCAGCAAGTCTTTCAGTGCAGGAATGCTGTGAACGAGGCCCCTTTGCATGAAATGTACTTTTCATATCACTTCTTACAGGCCACTGCCTCTCCTCTACCTCCATCCCCCATTACCTTGTTCTTCACATGTCATAATACTTAGCAATCAATACTCAGACAATAAATGTTTATTTACTCTACCAGGCTAAGATTCAGAATGTAGAAACCATGTGTACCTTGCACACCGCCGGATTTCCCAGTTCCTTGAATAGCGTCTACCACAGTGTTGACTCTTAAAACATGTCTGTTGCAATAATAATTATACCCACTATTGCACATAGCTATTTGAGTTCTTTCCTAATCCTCATTCTCAAACTCCTAAGAGAAAAGAATTGAACTTCAACTATTGCATTCTCCTAAAAAGCCTTTCTTAGGATGAATGAGCCAGTTGCATGTGTATGGTTAACTGAGACACAGGCCTCTTTAATGAGCAGAGGTGCGGGGTGAGAAGATCTGTAGTGAGGAAATCACGGGAGTAATTCAGCGCAGATCCAGGTCGCGATCCTAGTGAACACGTGCACCGGCCGGCGCGAAGAGGGCGGGCATTGGGGAGACAGATCCCGGGCGACTGAACGTGCTCGCTCCCGTGGCCGCTTCCACCAGGGCGTGCAGGCGAGCGCACGTGCGTCAGCTAGACCCAGCGTAAGGAGCGCCCGGGATCCTGCGAAGAAAATGATGGAGGGAAAGCTGCGGCCTGGGAACAGGGAAAGGTGTAGGGTAACCTGTGCTCTGGGAGGGGAGAGCACGGAAGGGGAGGAGAGAAGAAACGCGAGCTAGGTAAGGCAGGCCAACCTGGGCTCGCGAGGAAAATTGGGCGGGGTGGGGCGTGGCTGGAACAGCCAGGGGATATAATCGTGGTGCGACTGGTTAGTAAGTGTATTCAGAGTACGGGGTCGAAAGCACTGCACCTGGAGTCACGCGGGTAAGAGTAAAAGGCAGAAGGGCGGTGATTTAGGTTCCTCTCTCCGACCGAGCCAAGCTTTGTATCCGCCCAAGTCAGGTTCCTTTTCTCAGCCGGCGGCCAGAGCCGCAGGGAGCTCCCAAAACCCGGCTGGCTCCGCCCCTACACTTAGAGGGCGGTAGGGGCGTGGCCCGCCCCTTCCTCGGTTGGCGTACGCGTCAGCCGAAGCCTGACGCAGTGACGCAGTACGTCCACGTAAGTGACGAGCAGGCCCGGACCGCTCCTCCTTCCCTGAGTGAGTGCCGGCCGGGTCGGGGAGGGGGAGAAGAGGGAGGGCGGGGGAGGGAGAGGCGACCCGGGAGTCGTTGTGGGCCGCGGGCCGGACCGGGTCCTGGGGCAGCGGGAGCTCGGGCGGGGCAGAAGGGCTTGGAGGGCCGTTAGAGCGCCGCCACGGCTGTCGGGTTCCCTCCCTTGCCGGACTTGCGCGCCCGGGCGCCCCGAGCCTCCGGCGCTGTGCCCACCCCGCTCCAGCTCGCGTCTCCCGACTCCAATTAGGTCAGGCTCGGAGTCCCGCGGCCGCGGCTCCGGCCCGCAACGCGCGGCAGCTACTTGGCTCGCCTTTCTTTCTTCCCTCGCCTTCCTCTCTTGCCTCACCCTCCCCCCCCCTTCTTTTCATGTTCCTGGGTTTTGTTTTTTCGTTGTTTTGTGCTTTAGGGGTTTTGTTTCCCAGCACGAGCTCATGGGTGTACATTATCATGCTCCTCTTTTGTAGAGCAACGCGAAGGCCATGGAGGCTGAAGAGACGATGGAATGCCTTCAGGAGTTTCCTGAACATCATAAAATGATTCTGGACCGATTGAATGAACAACGAGAGCAGGATCGATTTACCGATATCACACTAATAGTCGATGGTACGTAGGACAGTGGTCAGAGGAGCGTATTTATGGCTTCAGTTCTCCCTTTCCACCACCCGCCTTTTTCCCCCTACTCTTTTTGGGCTCCCTACCAAAGTCTGGATGGTGTGCACTGAAACTGGAGGACACTTGTCAGTGTCTGCTCGCATAGACCGTACTGCAGAAATCTGGTTGGTCAGTTGTTCTTTCAGTATAGCCTGGTATTCATCGCATTTTAACTTCTTGCATCCTGTTAAAGTTTTCTCATTGCACGCAAGAGTGCAGGATGATGAAGTTTGGCGTATAGACTACATCTCAGAATTTTTGGTTAATAGATGAGAATGTCTAAAAATGTTTGGTTGATAGTCTTCTGTTGGTAAGCTGCTTTGAGAAGTCCTCTTACAGGAGTCATTTGGGAAGTATAGGTTTCTGGTTTTTCAGATGGTTTTGGATGGAGAATGTGAGAGATCCTCTTTGGGAGTCCCCCACAAATAGTTGAAGGCTTCATCAGTCTTAATTGTCATAAAGGAGACAAGCCCAGCTTGAGTATCTTTTCTGTTTAGTGAAAACAGAGACTTTTCAAAGCAAGCTGTTCTTTATTTATTATAGGTTCACCAAAATTGAGTTACCACATAGTATGCATTTTTAAAACATTTGCTATTGCGTACACATCAAACTTTGTGCTTATACTTATTTTACGGTTTTTTTGTCTCCAAATGCTGTGTGATCTTTTGGATTCTTCATTTAGCAATTTCACTGAGTAGTATAGACGTCTTATTTCATAATTGATGGTCATAGAAAGAGCTAGAAAATTCCTTACCTAGTATTGTAAGTGGGCTTTTATAAAAACTTAATTGTCTTTGGAGTAAAAATTTGACTTCTTGTTTAATTAAGTTTAAAATTTGCCAAGAGAGCTGACCATATTCTAACTGTAGTTCAATAATTTATACAGATATTATGTTGCAAAAAAAATCTATTTTACTTTTATATTTTATGTTTTACAGTTTTTACATTTGATTTTTGTGCATAAGTATGTTTTGTTTGTTTTTTCCACCTTAGGACATCATTTTAAGGCCCATAAGGCTGTTTTGGCTGCTTGCAGTAAGTTCTTCTACAAATTCTTTCAGGAGTTTACTCAGGAACCTTTGGTGGAGATAGAAGGTACGTTTTCGTTTTATGTGCAATATTTCAGTGGACATAATTGGTTCTTTAACTTTTAGACTCTTACCTTTCATCATGGAGAATAGGCATCAATGATTCCTTATTGAGCAGCTAGATAGATTATTCTTTTGAGACTTTTGAGAATCTTTACTTCTAATAAATGGTTTGGTAGCATGATCTGCCAGGAAAACTTTTAGATAGTAGATATTAGTGAGCAATAAAAGGCTTTTCCACTGCTGAAACCAGTCACTGACTTGAAATTATGCATAAAAATTAAATCACCATCTTTCAGACAGGTGGGGATACTGTAAATTATAGGAGAGGCCTTTATATTAACAGAGGTAATGATGTACTAACAGTGATGTAGATGACAGGCACAAGGTGAAGTGGGCTGCGATGATATGGAAGAGGCTAGGAATGATGAACTCAGGTAGCATTCAGAAAAAATTCTATGGAATGTCTTAAGAGGGAAGGAATCATCGGTTAGATATTAACTTGAAACAAAAAGTGGTTTTTTTTTTTTTTGTAATTGACATTTTCTAATAACCTACCAAGTGCCAAGCATTGTGCCATGTAGTTTGTATATTTCTGAGGCTCACATTAATATTTTAAAAGTAAGTGGTGTTATTTCCAATATACATAGAGGAGACAGAGTTCAAAAGGTTACTTGCCCAAGGTTGTCCACCTAGCAAGAGATTGTCTATGCTGTTAATTACCATGATTTTATCTCTTGTTGCTACTCTCTCCCCCTGTTTCATCTCCTGTCAAAATCCAAACAGTGGGGCATAAATCTATTTGTATACATGAATACAGAATCTTATTTCAGGGTTTTGGGGTTTTAGTTTTATATCTCTTTCACTATATACATATTCTTTGTTATGAATGGGTTGCCTAGGAACACCATTCCCTTAGAAAAATTTGATGCCTAAGGGAGTTAAGAATGTCTTTTTATTTTGGCATATTCCAGTTGATACATCTGCAGCTAGATTATTTTTTTTCAGTCATGGAAAGAGTGTAGGCATAATGGGAATCCATAGAGCTTACCAAAATGAGAATCTAGCTGTTTAGATGTTTTTTTGTTTTACTATAGGGCAAGAAATCCAACAGTTGATTCATCTGATGTTTGCTGAATATTAAGAAGTTACTTTACCTCAATTACATATTGATCTCCTCATTTGAAAAGAGATTAACAGACTTATAATTATTAATTGAAATAACCTGTGCAGAATGTCTGGCATGGTGTTTGATGCATTGTCAAAGCCTAATAAGTGGAAGCTATTTATAATATTAAAAAACTAATTATGTATTATATTCGATGCTAGAAATTCAGAATTCATGAGTAAGCTGACTCTAATGAAGTTGAAAATGTGATAGCAACAGCAAAGGACTGCAAAAAGTATTAGAGACTGTTACTGTTTTATGGCATCACTGAAGAGGGAAAATGAGAGGTTTAGTCTACCTTAGATAGGGATTTCAAATGAAAGATAACTTCTAAGCAGAATATTAAATTTTTAAAAATAAGTGGCCTCTGCTGGAGTACTTATTGTTAGTGGAGAGAGTAGCACTGGAGTAGTAGGCCCTTTTCTGAAAACTTGTCACCTTGGGATTTTTCTCTTCTTTGTCTTGTTATGTCCATAATATCACAGGACACAGAAGCCTTCAGTATTTCAGTTATAGACAGATAAAGTAATATAAAAAGCACTCTTTGTGGTTTTTGTGCAGATTTTAAAGAATGAGTTTAGTTCAGTGTCATGTCTTAAGGTCTTAACTGTTCTATTTATCAGTTACCTGGCTATAGAGAAAGTGCTCAACGCATAATTAGAAAAGCTGAGTTTTAGTCCTGGTCTTAGTATTTGTCAGCTATGTGACCTTGGATGTCTTGACTTCCTTTTTTTTAATCTGTAAAATATATCAAATGGTTTTGTATTATGTCCTGGACACTTTGAATGTAACTTTTTAAGACTGGATGCTGTTAAAAAATCCTATGGAGAAGACTTTCATTTTTATTTTAAGAGGCAATCTGTCTGGTTAGATTCAGGCTGCACCCTGGGTTGTGGATCCAATTCCAATTTACTTTTAAAATTTTTATAGTGCTGTCCAGGTTCCAGATGGGACTGAACAGAAACCTTCCTGCGACCTGGCTGGTAGTCATGTCATAATGCAGTTTTCAAAGCCATTGATATTGTAAGTTTGGGTCAGTGCAACTCTGCAGGTGAGCTTTAGATCACATACATGGATTGAGAGGACCTTTCTCCAGTTCCTTCATTACCATGATTTCCTCTGTACTCAAGCTCCCAGAAGCTCCTTTTCATTGTTTAGAAAACTGGGGTTTTTAGCTTGTGTGCTATTGTACATTTCCTGCAGGTGGATCTGTTTCCTGGACAAAGTGGTGGCAGAAAACGTAGAGGAAAAACATGAATTCCCTCCATATTCTTCAAATCACCTCGTTCCTTTGGCAGAGAAAAGAACTTTTAATAGTTTAATTGGCTATCAGCTATATATGTGCAGCCTTAGAACTAGGACTTGTCCTGAGGCATAGCTGAGAGAAGAAAAATTACAAAGTCTCTTTCCCTCCCCACTCCTCTCCCCAATTATCCCCTTTTCTCGTTTTGTAGCTTGGTGCTTTTTTTCTGTTTCCACCCACTGCTCAGTTTTGGGATTTGGGTTCTCAAGTCTAACCTGGAAGATGTGGGAAGAAACTCTGCTCTTTTGAGTTTTTCTCTTTCTAATCTACTTCTATTTTCATAGTCCTTATATGTATGCTTTATGTGTTCTCTGCAGGATGTTTAGTTGTAATTAATGGACAAAATTGGGTGGAGCATGCTTGTACTTTATCTTAGCCAGAACTGGAACCTCATCTATAACAGTGACTTGGAGCAGTGCAAATTAGTTGTACATTAGAAACACCAGGAGAACTTTTACAAATGCCAACATCTAGGCTGTAGTTTCAGATCAACTAAATAGGTCTTTCAAGGGTGTGGTTTACATACCTGTATTTAAGTTTTTTGACTCCTTGTTTTTCAGCATGTTTTCTGAGGACTAGTAATTAGTGGGTATCACCTGGGACATTGTTAGAGCCATTGACTCAGTTTCCACCCAGGCCTACTGAATCACAAGATCCTCCAGTAATTTCTATGAACAG